CAGAGGTAACTTGTGGTCCCTGTGAAGCTGAACACTGTGACACTAGTGTGTCAAATGCGATCATGGTGACCCATGGTAGATGGTGTTGGGTGGAACTCTCTGATTAAAACAAGCTTGGAAGTAGGAGTGGCATCCACTTCCGTAAATGGCTTGCCTCGGGAAACACTATGAACCTGGAGGAAGGATGAAAGTCACGCAAGTGCTGAGGACTTCCATTCATAGGGTCGCTATGAGTCGCCAATGACTCCACGGCACTTAACAACAACAATTGTTTCTTGCAAAGGCCTGGAGGCATGGACTGGTCAGTGGATGAGGGAAACGGAACTCTGGCTGGTGGCAGACAGAGTCCAGAGGCCCTGCAGGAGTAGAGACGAGGGCTGGCTGTAAACCCTCAGCCCTTCCCGTCCCAACCCAGGGCAGGGAGCTGGTCTTCCAGCAATTGAAATACTGGCACAAAACCACACAGCACCAAGATTACCACATGGGGTTTTACCCTTCTGAGGTTTGTGCTTGTTTTGCTTTGTCTGTAAGAACTTTCTTTATTATAATTTAGAGTTCCCATGCATGCTGCAGTCAGAAGCCTCTCCAAATTATCTCCAAAATTAAATAATGATGTCAGTTTGAGGACTAAGGTACATTTGATTTAGGTCATGGTCATTTGCTATGCGTCTGAGAGCTGGGCAGTGAATAAGGGTGACAGAAGAACTGATGGTTTTTGGCTGTGGTGTTGGAGAAGAAATAAATGTGTTGTGGAGAGGTTACAGCCAGAGAGCTCTTTAGAGCAAAGATGATGAGGCTTCACCTCACGTACTTCAGGCATGTTGCTAGGAGGGGCTATTCCTTGGAGAAGGACATGACGCTGGGAAGGGTGCAGGGTCGGCAAAGGAGAGGAAGACTCTTAACCAGGTGGATTGACACTGTTACTGCTGCCATGGGTTTTTGTGTGTCAGGAAGTGTGAGGATGGTGCAGGACAGGACAGGGTTCAGATCTGTTGTTCGTAGGGTCGCTATGGGGTGTACTTGACTTGATGGAACCTAACAAGAAACAACTGCGTGATGATAGGGGCTCAGGATGCCTGTGCAGGTCGCAGGGCTGGCACAGGGCAGAAAAGGTGCAGTGATAGGGATGTTGCACAGTGTGGGCTTTGCACAGTCTCTGTAACTCCTTTCCTTGTTAGGGAGGAGCCCTAGCGGTATAGTGGGTTAAAAGTGAAAGGTTGGTGGTTCAAATCCACCAGCTACCACCTGGGAGAACAATGGCCATCTGCTTCTATAAAGATTTAGAGACTTGGAGACTCTGAAGGGACAGTTCTTGGTCCTTCAGGGCTGTTATGAGGCGAAATAGATTTGACAACAGTGCACTGCATTTGGGGTTTTCCTATAAAGATACCCACTGCCGTTGACACTGTACCCATTACTGTTCTTCCTCGGGGTGGCCTGGCTTCCTGATGCCCAGAGAAGTGGCCTGTCTGTTGGCTCACCCAGTCTCAGGGGCAATGTCACCTTTGTTCCCTCACCCCGCCACTGAACCTGGCCCAGCTCTGAAGCTGGGACCAGTGGGACGCCAGGACTGGGATCATTGTGTCCCTGGAGCAGGTTACACCTCACCCCCAGCCCTACAGCTCACCCACCAAACCCAAACGCCCTGGAGCCCTACCTGGGCCTCTTCCAGGGCATGACCTGAGCCCACGTACTGCCCCCACAGGGCCCTCTCACCTCCGCTGACTCAGCCTGTGGTGAGCTCTGCCGGGAATCCCCCTCCCGTGCTTCAGGGGAAGTGGGGCCTCCAGCTTTGGTCTGAAAAGTAGCAGGTGCTCGGCTACCCATCCAACCCTGACACAGCTCATGCATGCCACTGGACCCCAAAGTTAATGCACCCCAATTTCCATGCTCTCTGGCGAGGCCTCCTGCCTCCAGCCTCTGTTCCCCACTCCACAGTAGGCAGCAGTAAGAGGTGCCCTGTAACCCTCACCCCCAGCCCTCGCTCAGGACCTGGTGCCCAGCGGGAGCCGGGGATCTTTGCTGAACCGGGATCTGTGTTTTCATCTGCACAATGGGAACAAAGCAGCCTCTGCCTCCATCACTGGGAGGGAATTGAGAGCGGGCCTGTGCTGGCCCCGTACAACCATGTGGGGAGGCAGTTCTCACTATGTCCTCACAGGCAGGTCCTACTTTGAGGTTTTCGTATTATTACCCTACAGGGGCGGTGAAGGTTCAGTGGTAGAATTCTCGCTTTCCATGCTGGGGACCCAAGTTTGATTCCCGGCTACCATTCCTCATGCACAGCTATCACTCGCCGTCAGTGTAGGCTTGTGTGCTTCTGTGAGGCTGCTCGGGTCTTTGACGTTTTTAAGACAGATTAGGAAGAAAGGCCTGGTGGCCTGCTTCTGAAATTCAGTCGTGGGAGCCTTATGGTCCTCAACACTCCAGCCTGAAACTGGTCACGGGGGGGGGGGGGGGGGGGGGGGGGAGGTGCAGGACCTGTTCTGCTGGGCATGGGGTTCCAGAAGTCAAGGAGCCTGGTTCACATAATGGGTTACATGTTTCACTGCAAATCAGAAAGTTAGCAGTTCAAATCCACTACCATCCTCAGTGATGTCAGTTTGAAAACTAAGGTGTGCCTGATTCAGGCCATGGTCTTCTCCATCACCTGCTATACATCAGAGAGCTGGACAGTGAAGAAAGATGGCAGAAGAATTGATGCCTTGAACTGTGGTGTTGGAGAAGAGCACTGAGCATCCCACCGGCTTCCAGAAGAACGAGCAGATACATCTTGGAGGAAAGTGCAGCCGGGGTGCTCCCTGGAGACAGAGGTAGTGAAGCTTCGCCTCTCATACTTGGAACATGTAGCCAGGAGAGGCTACTCCTTGGAAAGAAACATCATGCTTGGAAAGACAGATGGTCAGAGAAGAGGAGGAAGCCCTTCGATGAGATGGATTGGCACAGTGACGTTAGCCATGGGCGCACTGTGTCAGAGATGATGAGGAGGGAACAGGAGAGGGCAGGGTTCAGGTCTGCGTCACGGTGAGTCATACTTTACGGCACCTAAGGACACAGCAACAGCCACTCCTCAGGAGAAGATGGGCAAGCGCATCCCGTCGCCATTCACGTTACAGCCTCAGAAACCCTACGGAGGGTCACGATGAGCCAGAACTGACTTCATGGCACTGAGCTTGGGTTTGAGGGTTTGGGGTTCAACCACAAAACGACCCTCCTGGGAATATTCTAACCGCAGTAAGTGACTGGAGTCTCTGTGTGGACGATGATGAGGGTGGCTGACCCTCCAGAATCACAGGGGAGAAACCCCCCACTCACTGGTCTTGTTACAGTTGCAGGGCTGCTGAGCACAGATGGACTCACGTCCTGGGGTGCACACTGCTCTCACTACCCAGTGCCTGCACACTTCCCCAATAACCGGGCAGAGCAAAGCCAGGGACACTGAGCTCAGCGCTTCCAGGCCAGAAACCTCCACTCCACAGCCTGCCCGGGGCAGCGCGGCTGGGGCCGTCTACATGCTGAGTTTCCCATGAGTTCATTTCTGCACAGTCTCACAGCTACAAAAGCAATCAGGAACCCCTTGGTTAGGTCAGGCCTCCTTGTTTTACAAATGCTGAGGCCGCAAGGGGCTTGTTCAAAGTGGCAGGGCAGTGACGGTGAAGGGTGCAGACCTGGAGGAGGAATCCCCAAGAACAAGGAAATTGGGAGGTCAAGGGAGGAGGGCTTGCCTCAGAGGTTCTGAGTCTGAACCCTAGTGCATTCACCCCTCAGCTGCCTGTGGCCCTGGGCCACACCTCAGCCTCCCGGGGCCTCAGTCTCCTTGTCTGCAAAAGAGCAGTGGTATTAACACCCCTCCCAGAGTGGCTGTGAAAATTAATGCATTGTACACGCCTGATGGGCTGTTGGTGGCGCCCTGCCCGGCCTTGGGCAGCCGTGGCAAACATGAAGGTAGAGGTGGCCAGGCCTGGGGTCTGCCCCAAGATGGGTGTCCTCCCCTCTATCTCTGCCTCTCTACCGCCTCAGGCCCTCTGAGGATGTCCATCGATCTGTGGGTCCACACAGGTCACTATCCCGGCCCCAGGGTACCTGTTACCAACAGGTGATGCCCTCCAGCCCTCAGGGTCCCATAAAGATGTGTACAAAAATGACTGGTCCTGCCAGGGTGTGGATGGGCAGGGCCTTGTCCTGCAGGGAGAGGGGCTGCTGTGGCCTCATCCATGTTCTCAGTCCAAATTCTGTGGGTGGCTACTGCACCTCCATCCTCACAACAGCCCCATTGGCTGGACATGGGGCACCAAGGACTGGAGAGCTGCCGGACATCCTCACTGTGCTCGACACACAGCCACTTGCTCGCCCTCACCCCAGTCTGCCAGATAGGAGCTATTTTCCAGGCCATCTAGTAGGTGGGGAAACCAAAGCACAAAGTTCAGCTGCACAAGGTCAAGTGGAAAGGCAGTGTCAGAGCCTGGATTTGAAGCTGTCCCCTTCTAGAATCCTGCCCTCTCTGACACCCCTAGCTGTGACCATTTGCGTGGAGGGGTGCAGTTCTAATGAGGAGAGGTCCAGGTGGGATGGGACACCAACATGACCTGATATCTCTGCTGTGCCCACCTGTCCCGTGAGTGTCTTGTTCAGACTGAGGCCTGTTCACCCCAAGCCCCGCAGCTGACCACGTCTCACATCCTCCCGGGGAGAAGAATGTCACCTTGCTTCCTATCTGCCTCCCGCGTGGTTGGCTGGGGAAGGGGCCCGAGGGGGTGGGGGTGAGGTTAACCTCACTGTTGTCTTATATGGTCATTTAACTCTCCCGGGGCTTCCTCCCAGGGCCAAAAATAATCCAGAGACACAGCAGCTGTGTCCAGCGCACAGGGAGGACGCAGCCATCTGCTCTGGTGCAGAGCCCGCATCTGCCCGTCTGCCCCCGCCCCTGCGCCTCCAGCCATGCCCCGCTTCTCCTATGCTGAGTACTTTGCTCTCTTTCATGCCTGCCCTGCGCCCCCCAGGTCCACCGCGTCGCCCGAGAGCCCGTCAGCCCCCAAGGGCTTGTTCCAAGGGGTCATGCAGAAATACAAGAACACCCAGCCAGTGTAAGTGACCCCCGGGATTCCCAAGTTCATTCCCACCCCTGCTGGGCTTGCAGGGGGGGAGGGTGGGAAGCAGTCCTGGGCCTCCTCGACGACTGGGACACTGAGGGGACCTCCTGGGCCAGCCCCTCCCAGATGTGTCCCTGCTGAGCTGGCCCTGAGACCACAGCCCCTGTCCTCTGTAAGCCCTGCAAAGCTGGGCCCCGTGTGACTACCCTGCCTTCTGGGTGGGGCCTGGGTGCTGGGGTAGCCCTGTGGGAATCTGTGTCTGGGGCTCAGGGGATCAGCGCTGAAGCAGCTGAGTGGCCACTACTCCGTCTGTCCTCCTGTGTGTCTGTCCTCCACGCCCCTTATCCCTGCAGCTGAGTGTATGGTGACTCTGCTTTGTGGCCCTTCGGGGGCTAGTACAGGGCTGGGCCCAGAGTGTGAGCTACGGGGTGGATTTGGTCACGCTGCTGCTGGTTGGGTCTTCGGAAAACAACCCTGTCCTGCTCCTTTATTCATGACCCCTTCAGCCCTAGAATCAGCTCAGAGCAAAAGAGGGGTCCTGCCATCGGCACCCCCATTTCCTATCTCAGTTACATGGTTGAGAGGGAGGGAGGGAGGGACGTAGCCGGTGTTTGTCCTCCTTCCAGCCCTTTCAACCCAGGGGTCTAGGAAGAGAGCCCGCAGGTCTGGTCTCCACCTTCTGCCACTTTCCGTGTGATGCCCACCAAGTCAGTCTCTGAGCCCTGTTCCCTGTGGGGCTGGGCTGGAGGTGAAGAATCTAGGGTCCCATCTCAGATGGCCTGGTGTCCCCCTGGCTTCCCCTACCTGGTGGGCACTTGTCTGAGTTCACAGAGACATATGTGCAGCAGGCACCGGATCCAAAGCTCGTGACGCACAGCAGGTGGGGTCCTGGAACGGCCCGCTGTCACTGTGTTGCCCTCTGCAGCCCAGACCGCTAGAGCTGCCAGACTTCCTACCTCATTGCGACCAGGCCCTGCAGGAGACCCGGGCATATGGGTCACATAGCCCACGAGGCTCTTCCTGACCCCAAGCCGGCCTCTCAGGCCGCTCCTCAGCGGCCCGTTCAAGGTGACAGTGAAGGTGTCAACAGGACCCCAGGGTCTATCTGGTCCAGTTCCCCTTCGCCCCTGCTGCGGCTGTAACCCAGCCTGCGTCTGATTTGCACTGACGCTATTAATACCCAGACGGGCTGCTGCTTCTGCTGGGGAGGAAGTGGAGCTCACGCTGGCGGAAGCCCCTGGGGGTGGGAGGTAAGGACGAGGCTGGGGACCCTTGGTGCCTGCCTGGCCCCTGACACAAGAGCCCAGCCTCACCTTCACCTTCTCCTTTGGGAATAGGGGACCATTTGTGCAGACCACTCCCCCTGAGTAGCCGAGAGTCAGCTGTTTTGGTCCCCACTAGTTCTTCAAGGCTGGGGACAGAGATTCAGAGGACGAATGAATGAACAAGGTGGCTTTAATAAGCCAGGCAAAGAATATGCCATTCACATCAAGCCCTAGAATCTCTTTGATATTCAAATGTTTCAATTTGTGAAGGGTTCAGATGCATTAATCCTTTAAGTATTGCAACCTTTCAGCAGCTACATATATTTGGGGGGGGGGGCAGGACTGGAGGGCTGGATAGAAGGGGAGAGTTGAGAAGCCAGAGGGAAGCGCCCTGATATGTGCAGTGGGAACAGGGGTCTCACCTGAGAATCTGGTCTCCTTGGAGATGCTGGAAGCCCACTGGTGGGTGTCTATGTTAGAGGCCCCCAGATCAGGGAGGCATTTGATGCTGCCGGGTCCCTCCCTTAGGACCAGCCCTGTGGCCTGACCCTCTTTATCAGGAGTAACCTCAGGACAGCAGCAGCTTCGGACTCTGGAAGAGGCAGGGACGGTGCCTCCTCACACTACCCGCCCCCACACGTCACCCTTCCACCCAGATGTCAGTTCCATCTGCATCAGTGGGGCTTAGGCGAGTGTCCACTCTGTGTCCTAGGTGGCCTCAGTCCAGGCATAGAGAGATAGGCAACCCGTACACTCAGAGACACGCACAGGGGACTCGATGAGTAGTCAGATACCTAGGCCGTTGCACCTCCTACATTCCCAAAGGAGACTCCAGAAAGAAAGATCTGAGTGAAACAACCCAAAACACAGCCATTATTGGGGTCAACCCTGATCCACAGCAGCTCTGTGTGTGCGAGAGTAGAACTGTACCCCGCGAGGTTTCAGCTATGCTTCTTGGGGTTCCAGCGGCTGCATTTTCGGAAGCAGACTTCCAGATCTTTCTTCTGAGGCAGCTCAGGGTGGACTTGACCCTCCAACCTTGAGGTTACTGGGCAGGCATGTTAGCCATGTGCACCACACAGTGAGTCCAGGCCTGTTGATTCTGGCCCTCAGAGACCGTCTGTGACAGAGGGGAACTCCCAACCCCACAGGGCTTCCAAGGCCACAAACCTTCTTGGGAGCAAACTGCCAGTCCTCCTACTGCAAAGTGGCCGCTGCACCCGACTGGCCAACATTTCAGTTAGCAGCCAAGAGCTTGCACACCACACCACTAGGGTTTCTTGACTCTTCAGTAGAAACAAGTATCATTTTAAAGAGACAGGAGTAATTCCAGTCGGGGAAGAAGCAGTCTTTTGGGAAATAGAAGGAATGAGAAGTGAAATTATTGTTGGGATTCCTATCGAATGCCTGGCTCTGAATCCATTCATTCATTTGTTCATTTCTCATAAAATGACTATTTTTTTTTTAAAAACTCAAACTTTCTGTGAACTTTCACTGAAATCACAATAAAAATGAAAAAATATATATACATATAAAAAGGTTTGGAGAATATAAAACAACAAAAATCCAAGTTGCCATCATGACCAAAATAAATTGAAAAAAAAGACTATTTTTTTAGCATCTTTTATAGACCAGATCAAGGCCAGCCCTGGGAATAAAAGTGAAAGAGAAAGAGAGAAAGACTGACACTGTCCAGCCCCTTGGAGCTCATGGTCCAGCAGGGGAGAAATAAGAATTGTCAAGGTCCTTGGTCATTTGAAGATTCTGGTTAGAGAAGTGACCTGGTTGTCTGAGTGGAGGAGGCCTCTCTGGGCTGAGTGCTGGAGAGCACCATGTCTGGGCAAAGTGGATAGTCCTCCATAGGTGCTCCCCAATGTCAGGGAGGGATGTAGGTGCCCCCCTGTGTAGGTCAGGGATGTCATTCTCCTTCTTGAGCCTCGGGGACACTGGGCTGCAGGGTCTGAGGGGATAAGCCTGGACTTGTGACCCCACATTGGCCTCGTAAGCTCCCAGAGAGAATGACATGCCTTCTCCCTCAGAGACCCAGTACTGAACACCATCAGGGCCGGTGATGAGGAGGCCCTCAAGGCCATGATCAAGGCGGGGCAGAACCTGGCTGAGCCCAACAAAGAGGGCTGGCTGCCGCTGCACGAGGCCACCTACTACGGTCAGCTGGGCTGCCTGAAGATCCTGCTTCAAGGTGAGGGATGCGTGGTGTGGCCGCCTAGGGTGGGGGGAGGATGTGAGGGAGGAGCCCATGGAGAGGGCAAAGCAAGGTTGTCATGCCCATTCAGCAACTAAGGTCACTAAGAAGGGAGCGAATTGTCACCTGCCCCTCCTGCCCCCTCCACTGCCACCCCCCTGGGTGTCCAGGACAGAGCACCAGTTCCTAGGAAAAGGAGGCTGGCGTGTGAGGATTCCTGCTGCTTGTTCCAGAGAGAAGATTTCAGGGCCGACTTAGTGTCGAAAACAGCAGCTCCACTTCTGGGGTTGTGGGGGGGGGTCCCTGGGGTTGTCCCGTCTCCTGAGCCAGATCCAGACTGGCACTCCCTGCGTCCAGGGCTCCTAGCATGCTGGGTGAACAGCAGGACGCACCTTTGCCCTCAGAGATCTCATTGGCTAAGCTTAAAGGTCGGAGTGTCAAGGTCACTCAGTGGTGCCTCAGAAGAAAGGCCTGGCAATGTACTCCTGAAAAAAAAAAAACGAAAAATCAGCCACTGAAAGCCTCAGGAGCACTGCTCTGCTCTGACACGCGTAGGGACAACCTGAGTGGAAACAGACTCAAGCAGCACAGACCCCAACAAGCCCATCAGGCTCCAGGGCAGAAGAAAGGTTTCTGGTTTCAACAGTGATTAGTGGGAGAGCAAAGGTCATTCAGAAAAGGAGAGGGCAACCAGGGAGGGCTTCCTGGAGGAGGTGGCATCTGAGTGGCCATCTATCACTGATCAGCAGCAAATAGCCTGTGAAATAAATCGGGTCCAGGACAAAGAGGAGGAGGGCACACCAGGGCTGGTTGGTGTCAGAGGATGTGGTATATTTCTGTCCCTGGAACTGGGAGGGGATCAGGAACGCCTCCTTGCTTTAGGGAGTGGATTTCCCCCCCCCCCCCCTTCTAATTCTCAAATTCTCTATCTTCCTCCCAGCATATCCCACAACCTTGGACCAGCGCACGCTGCAGGAAGAGACGGCCCTCTACCTAGCCACGTGCAGGGGCCACCTGGATTGCCTCCTGTCACTGCTGCAGGCTGGGGCAGAGCCGGACATCTCCAACAAATCCCGAGAGACGCCCCTCTACAAAGGTGAGTGCCTGGGGAAGAGGGCAGAGAGCCGGTGGGAGTGGAGGGTCTTGTTCATGTAAGCACGTCACTCCCTAAGGAAGCTGCTTCGAAGGCAAAGGCTCATTTGGGTCCATAATTCATGCCATCGTCAATCATTCATTCCTGAGTGCATTCAAGCCAACATTTCCCAAGTGCCTCCCTCCCAGGTGCCAGGCATGCTGAGGGTGCCAAAGAGCAAAAATGAAAAGATGTACAGACAGTGGATGTGACAGTCAGCTAAAGGCAGCTGGCTTGACCAGGTGGGGTGGGAAGAGGTGGTGCCTGAGTTGAGCTTGAAAACAGGAAGACTTTACCAGCTGGACAAGCATAGGGAACAGCATAGGCAAAGCCAAGGAGGTGTGGTGGAGTTTGTGCCTCTCAGAGCTTGTTTAAGGTAAATGGAAAGCTTGTGCTTTTTCAGGATGCCATCCCAGGGCTCACTGCCAGCTGCTGGGGGGTTGATTCTGACTCACGCTGACTCCAGGCAAGTCTGAGGAGACCTGTGCTCAACAGGGTCTCAAGGGTTGACTTCTTCAATAGGAGATTGCCACATCTTTCTTCTGAGTCACCTCTGGGCTAACTAAAACCCAAACCAAATCTACTGCCACAGAGTTGATTCCAGCTCATAATGACCATATGCAGAGCGGAACTTCCCCCTGGGGTTTCCCCAGCTGTCAGTCTTTCCCCCCCTTTTTTAAATTTTAATTAATTGTAATGAAAATTTACAGAGACTTTGGATTTCCATTCATTCATTGTTGCACTTTTCTCCTTGCCCATTCCTCCCCCCCTCCCCCATACACTCTTCTCTTTGAAAAGTAAAAGAAAAATTCCCCCATTGTTTTACAATCCCTCCCCCCAGGTCCACTCCACTATGCAGCCTTCACTTTGGACTCCTGTCATGACAATAATACCTAATCACATATCCCTTTTAAACAGTTCTCTCCCTCATCTGTTTCAATGCAGGATACCTTATTTATCCCACCTTTCTCAGTCTCCCTCCAACCCCAATGTCAGTCCCGTTCTACAACAGTGGCACCATGCAGTATTTGTCCTTTTGTGACTGAGATATTTCACTCAGCATAATGTCCTCCAGGGTCACCTATTTTGAATAATATTATATCAGTTTATTGTTTTTCAATGCAGCATAGTATTCCATTGTGTGAATATACCACAGCTTCTCTATCCATTCGTTTGTTGATGGTCACCTGGGTTGTTTCCAACTCCTTGCTATTGTGAACAAAGCTGCAATAAACATGGGTGTGCTTATATCTACTTGGGTGTCAGTTATGGTCTCTTTGGGATATATTCCCAGTAATGGAATTGCTGGGTCAAATGGTATTTCTATTTGCAACTTTTTGAGAAAGTGCCATACTGCCTCCCACAGTGGTTGCACCATTTTACACTCCCACCAACAGTGATTAAGGGTTCCAGTTTCTCCACAACCTCACCAGCACTTGTTGCTTGCTGTTCTGTTGAATTTTGCTATTCTGACTGGGGTGAGATGATATCTCAGAGTTGTTTTGAGCTGTCAGTCTTAATGGGAGTGCCCTGCTTCCTCTTTCTCCCATAGAACAGCTGGTGAGTTTAAGCAAATGCCTTTTCGGTTTGTAGTCCAGTGCTTGACCCACTGCACTACTAGGGCTTCTTTCTGGGCTGGTGGTGGTGGTGTTGTTTGCCATCGAGTCAGAGCCAGGACATAGCCGACTTTTCAGGGGGTTTTCAGAGGCTGTAAATTGCATCCATCCTTCTCTGTCGGAGCATCTGTAGGATTTGAAATGTGAGCCTTTGGGACTGTAGCACCGCTTCTTGCCACTAAGCCACACATGCTGTTATGTATTGCTTGCTTGCTTGCCTTGTGCTATTCAACTCTCCTTTTCATCTGTAAGAAATAGGTACTGCTATTATCCTCCTTTTACAGATGAAGAACTGAGGTGTAGAAATGGAGACTAAGTTTCCCAGGGCCAAAGAGTCAGCAAGGGGTAGACCAGGGACCTAAGCTTGGACACATCACTGCCAGCATCACACTGTAAGCATTATGAAGCACCTAGTCCTTGTCTACACAGTCAAGCAATCAGCTCTGTGTCTCATAAAATGAGGTTTTTACACATAGAAACAAACAATACAATTTTCTATGCAGAGTGTCCACTTGAGATCCTCCCTGGGCAAGAGGAATGGTAGATAATTGAGTCAATAGCAGACACACAGTGGGAGGGTTTTCCCCAGAAACTATGCCCCCTTGGGTACCAGATCCATTGTCTGGGGTCTCCGCTGCCCTAAGAAAGCCCCTGGGAGCTGGGCGAGTCACGGTCAAACCTCATGCCCTGGTCCCCTGTGCGTCCTCACCTTGTCAAGCCTACATGCACCATCTTACTCAGAACTCCAGCAGGGCCTCTGAGGAAGACAGCGTCATCTCCTTGTGTGGGAGAGGAAGCCCAGACTCAGTGAGCTTTCAAATGCTCCACAAATAGCCTCCTCAGCCCGAGTCAGAGAAGCTTCTAGATGACTGAGGCCACCTGCAACCTCCCTGGTGATTACTCTGGGCCAGAGCCACGGGTACATTTGCAGTCTTGGTAGAGATGAGAGTGAACAGGGAGGTGTGAGCACATTGAGACAACTGGCTGAACTGAGCTTGGCAGGATAAAGCTTACCTCAAATCATGAGTAGCTTTGGAGGAAGCATCGACCAGGAATAAGGCACTGTCTGCACTGACCAGGGATAAGGCACTGTCTGCACTGACCAGGAATAAGGCACTGTCTGCACTGACCAGGAATAAGGCACTGTCTGCACTGACCAGG